GGAATCTGATGAGGGAGCATAAGTCTGTCAGCCTATACTAGCAGAATGCATCTATCTGATATTGGATTGAGGCAATGAATGAGAGATGTTTGCTACAGCAGTGCCAAGAAAGTGACAGTGATCAGCATCCAAAAACAGTGGCAGACAAAATACCTTTACTGCCAAATCAATCCTACAACTCAAGATTGTAGTGGTACTAATAGATAGCAAGTGGTTACCGCTGCCGGCCCACTGTTTCTAGCCAAGGCAGATTTATGGTAAAGCCAAACTATGTCATTATACATAAGCCTGACCAACGTGTCCATTTTATTATTGGTGATGTCGGTGTCAGTGTAGTTAGTCAGTGTCTACAGGCCGCATTTTCCTCAAGGATCACACAAGTGAGGGTCCCATAATCCCAGTTGGTACACAGACTATTGCAGTCGCAGTTTATGGGACTGATGTGACTTAAGACAGCTAATGTAGCCAGCTATCATCTACATTCATTGATATATATAATTAGTGGACAGAGATTCTGGGTCGGTGAAGTATAGCAATCACGCAAGTATAAACCTGCACTCTGCCTCATGGCCAGAGGGGGACAGCTCAATTGGCTGCAAAAAAGTCAGATAGTATTGAGTCTTAAGGGGATTGACCCTACTTCTTACTTGATTTATTATCTTAGTAAACAGTTTCCTAATGACTTTATGGTCTCAATCACTAGTTTCTACTCTTGTTCATGTAGTGCATTATGGTGTAATTTAGGGCAAAATATACAAGAAAGCAGGGTATGCCTTAGCGCATGGCTATCTTGTGATTGATAAGTCATTCTCAGTGAGTTCGTCCAGCGCAATGCACAAAACTCAGATCAATCTGTCAAACTAGACAGTGCTGATCAAGTATGAATCAAACTTCTAGTACTGTGTTGCCTATTTCGCACCTCAAATCCTTTCAGAAACATATTTTAGTGTAATGTTTATCTGCAGTACGAGAAAGTTTGTGACCAGCAAAGGAACAGAATCAATTGTTGACTGATGTGGAGAAATGCACTTCTTATAGTATATAGTATCTTAGTATAGTGATAACAATGTCTCACCTTGATCACCAGAAAAGGTAACTGACGAAAATATATCTCCTCATATTTACTATCAACAAAATTAACATTTACGTATGCTTTTCTGGAGAACATCAGTCCTGTGTTACATTTTTGGTAGTGTCATTGATTCTAATCAGTGACGCTCACAAAAAGTGGATTAATCATGATTAAAAGCTCTTAAAACCAATTTTCTCTTGGCTGTCTAGGTAGAACTATAGTGCTCAAGAGGTCCTAGAAAACAATGAAGTCTCTGTTCTTGTACTCATCCATGTGCCAATACTCATGCACTATTCTGTAATTAGGTGTGGGAGAGCATCAGTGGGCGTGAGTGCTATTCACATGTGAACTCAAAAAGGTGAGCCAGGAAGTAGAAAAGGTTTTTTTTTTTTAAGGATTAGTTATGAGAAGGCTTAGAGCTGGTTAAGTCAATGAGGTGATTCATTTCAGCTGTGTTAATAACATATATTTAATATAAATAATTATATATTATTATATAATAATAATAAATAATTTACATTCAATGATGCTGAACTGATTAGAGGTAAAGGAAAAGGAACACAAGACTAGAATTACCACCCCACGGTTATATGACTTACTTTTTTCCTTCTGAACAACTGACTTTATATTGCTGTTAACTACAGACTGATCAAACGTATACATCATGGGCGATGATCTAAATTCTGACTAGTTAGACCTAATTGACCTGACTGACAAGTGTCTATTGGTTTCTTGCCATGAACAGTATAAACAGACATCTAGAAAGAGAAATCAGTCTACCTATGTGAAAGAGTAGCAGGCCATCCTTGCTTACGAAAAGTGCTAGATAATATCATGCAGCATGGTATGCAATGCTATTCTCTATTGTTGTACATTAAGTATATTTGTGAGTGGATAAAATGTGAAATTTCTCTGTATCCATGTGATTAAACCCAATTTTTAAATTAACCTAATTGACTGGAGTAGAAATGTATAATTATGACCTTGTATGAAAAAAGTTACCATTGGTGTAGACCATAGCCTCTGATTCAAAAGCACAAACAGAAATACATCAGGGACAGTATACAAGGCAAGAGTCTATAAGATGATGCAAGACCACAGTCATCCTCTACCAGCAGTCAACAGCATGACAGATCTATTTTACATGAGAAAGGCATTGTGTAGAGGGTACAAAGGTATTGCAAACTTATTGTCAGGGTTTATATGCTTTTTAACCAACAAACATCCATGAATTTTTGGCAAATTTCTATTGCCACACATCGAAATTAACCAAAAAAAAAAGTATACTGTACTTTGTCCAGAACGGACAAACTAAACACTGGCTGTAGATGGGGCCTTTCGAGTTTCGTAGCCACTGCAGTTTTCTCCTACACACTACACAATCTGTTCTCATACCCAGGTCCTCAAATACAGAGGTGAGGGGTGTGTAGTTAGTTACAATCTGTAACTTCACCATTAGATGCCACTAAATCCTACACACTGGTCCTTTAAATAATATAAAGTGGGAGGCAATATGTTCGGAAAATAAGTAATAAATAAATAAGTAAATGCACCTTTTATCCAGTAACACTGACATATATCAACTAAAACTAACTGTTTTAAATACAGACTTTGACTCTGCCTCTCTAAAATGGTTTTTGAAGACCTGAGTTGGTTCAGGGTGGCTTCTGCGGTGGCAGTGATTTCTCTTGCAATGCTGTTAAATATCCCCACTTTCACAGTGAAGACAGGATCAGCACAGCAGATCTTCATTTACTCAAGTTATTTCACCTTTTCCTACTGTCTCAAAATACCGTTTGACATTTGGCCAGAGCAGCAATCCTCTTTTTGACACACTGACATTCTCAATCCACTGATGATTACAGAACTGAAGCATATGCGTGCTGAATTCAGTTGCTGTAACAAACTCTTCATGATGGGCAGGGCAATCACAGAATAGCCAGTACATACCGTACAGTCGGTGTTCAACTACAACTTCAGCTTAGGTTTTTGACTGCCTTTAAAGTGGTTCCAGCAGAGTATATAATACTGTGAAACAAACTTGTTAATCCCCAGCCTCAAACAGAGAGAGCCTAAAGCAACCATCTAAAATCTGAGAGAGGGAGACAACCAAGACAAGACCACTGGGGATCTGGCTGTCAATGTGGCTTAGATACAGGGTTGGAAATTAGCACCCAACACCTGCCAAATGTGGGTTTGTAAAGGCGGGTGAATTTGCTTAACCTAGCAGCCACATTGGTGGGCAAATAAAAGTAGCATAACAGAGCCACTTGTGACATTCCACAACACAGATTGAATCGTGAACCTGCTTGTTGCACTCGGATACTTTATGAAGGAGATCAAGAACACTTTTTGTAATCATGAGGCCTAATATTATTCTGTAATTCTGTGGAAGTGTACGAACTAATGTTACACTGCAGACTGGCACCTCTGTTAATATTGACAGACAGATAGATCCATGTTATATGCGCTCGTCTCCTCTATGACACGTCGGTATCGTAACTGCACTGAATTATTATAACACACAACTCCCTCCTCATCTCCTTGCAGTTCTCATGTTTTAGGTATGTGCTGTTGAATTGACTTGTTGCTATATAGTTGGTTTGCTGCCTGCTGTATTTGTAAAATGTTCTCAAATTGTTGTTAACAACTATTAGACATATGTTATCCTGTCCATTCTAATTAATGTCTTTAAGCACCATTTAGTATAATGTCATTACATGGACTAGCTTCTCTCAGAATCCCTAACTGTTACTTTGATTAAGCATTTGTTACACAAATCTAGCCATCCTACCACAAACAATATTATGTTCAGGATGTGCACCAGCGCCTCTTATCACAGTCTTAAAAATGTATGACTACAGGATGATTGTGCCCTGACAGCATGGCCTAACATCAACGTATGCACACAAGCTCAAAGCAAGTCACAATGTAGACAGTGATTACTAAAAGATTATTAACAAAGAGGCAGTGTGTATTTTTGGGATTAAATGTGAAAATTATTAAATTGTCATTTATAATTAATAAGTATTTCTCATATAAAAAAAATGACAGGGATCAATACTGCATGCAAAAACTGCCAACATATGACACATACAGTATTTTTATTAGAAAAGGCTAGACTACTGGATTTAATTTGATTGAATAGAGGTTGATGATAATGTGCCCACTCTCATTTTGCACTATTTTTACTATTTTTATCTACTATCCTGCACAGAATGGTGGAGAAATTATATGGGCATCCAATGTTTTGGAAGGTCTATTCATTCTTGTCACAGACAACTAAAGTAGTCGAACAGCTGGAGCCCTTAACATTGCACTCCTAGTACAATGATCAGCGTAAACAGTGAGAAACTGTGTTGACAACAAATCTGTTTTACTATAAAAAGTAAACCGCACAAGACTGAGGCAGTCTAAAACTCCAAATGGGCAATGCAGCAACAAACAGTCCATCAACAATGTTGAAAGTCGCTGCCTATAGTGGGCTGAAGCAAGAGATTATGCATTTTAGAACTCTATACATTTTGAGTTCACTCTGATTCAACATACAAACTATGGAATTTTGTTCCTGATACAGCATTTTCAATTTGCTACAACTCTGATTTAAACCTCTGCCCGGAATGATCTTCATAGCTGCAACCACAGGATGTGAGTGAGCTGCAGCTCTGTTCACTTTGCTACTCTATACTTTTTTGTTTATCTCTAATGACCTGTTTGAATCCATTCCATTACATTAAAGCAATATGAAAATGTATTTTCATGAAGTAATACAACTTTTAAAGGGGAAAAGTAAAATATACACAAAGATTGAATTGATGATCCCATCAAAATGTCTTTATATTAACAAAATAAAAACAAAAGAGACTAGTGAGGGCACTTAAACTAAAGAGAACAAGTGCATCTCTATTGTCATAATCGTGTACTGTACCTGACAGGGTTGCTGGTAAGGGACACTCGCAATGAGTCTAGACAGGCAAACAGACGTTCGTCCATCACCCCCGACTTCAGCTCTCCCAGGAATTCCTGGGGGGATATCTGATGGCTGCTTCTCAAGCTCCCCTGGAAGAAAGAGAGGAAGAAGAAATCTTTTTAGTGTAGCCATGGAGAAAGTGATTAAAACAACATGAGGCAAACAAGTCTGAACATTCAGTACACGGACAAAAAGACCCCATGTCAACAATTTAACAGTCAATCACAAAAGCGCCCAGGGATTCCTTCCCAGTACTGTGCACTTACATCTTTAGAAACCAGAAAATCTATTCAAGTTCAGCCTACTTTAACAAATTTCTTAATAATTTCTGTCAGATCATTATAAGTGCAGTGTATATATTCAGTTTTTCTCAATATTTATATATATTTCTCTTCATTGAAAATGCAGTTCTAATGTTGTAAATAAAAGGCACTCAAAATAGCACATACCTTTGCCAGCTCTATGCAATGGTTACATTACATTGCTTTGTCTTGAATATCCCTATGTTTTCTCTTAATATCCGAAAATTTCCACAGCATGATAATAATAAATAAAACCAGCACAGGTGCTAGTAGGTCAAATTGAGACATTTCTTTGGGCTGTGATCATTTGTGTTGGGCATTTGTCATTTGACAGATTCATTGAAAAATAAAATCTATATATTAAATAACATTAACAATAAGTTGTTATATGAAACCCACCAATAACGTACTGCTAATCAATCAATACAAGGTCAAGTATAGTGCAATAGTAAAAGCATGTCAATAAACCATGATAGAATCACTGGGTGTCAACTATAGATTAGTTGGGTGTAAATCTGCCTCTGGGTGGATTTGTAAGAGTGAGTGGCAGTTCTACAGTAAGTATAATCTGTCCGTTAGTGGGAGGGCAGTACATTGGTGGTAACCACTGAAAAGCATCTGATCAATACCCAGACTGTGAGCCATCTTTATTTCCCTGACAGTGTGCAAATTACACAATAGGTAAAAACTTTAACTACATGTACATGTATCACACTACATAGTTGAAAAATTGTAGTGTCATCCATACTTTTATTTTCACCATTCTGTCCATACCTGTATCTGTTAAATATTTTCTTAATTAACATGGAAAAGTTAAAAACTGTTTTTAAGTTAAAATTCCCAGTACGATAACACCCTCAGCAACGATACTTTAAATTAGGCTAACATTTGAAGTAAGAATGACAACATGTTTTTTTGACCATCATTTTTCCAGGCTTTTGGATCAAAGCCAACAGCCTAATATCCTTCAGCAAGCCCAGGGTTATGGATAAACAAACCCACATGCTTATTCCTCAGTTCTCTTTAATATCACAGTGAGTCAAGTCTCTTAATTAGTTTTCAAACCTCACACCAAAGTGACACATTTCCCAAATAGCACATTTCCAAAGGGGCACCAAATCTAAACTCTTTTCATGTTGGTTCAAAATTTAGTCATCAACACAGAAATCACAGTAATTAACTGAGACAGCCATCATCTCTCACACTGCAAATGTTCTATAATCACATGCAAAAACAAACCATGCAATATGTCACATACAGTGTTATTTTATATGTTTATTCTACTTGCATGACTAAAAAGGTCACCCTGTCCCCAAACCCCATGTACCCAAAAGAGAGGGCCTTAATAAACTTTTTAAATAAAATGTAGCTGACCATAGACTTGAAAATAACAGCCACTGTATCTGCCCTGTCTAATATCAATCTATGTGCATCTCGCCAAACTAGTAAATGTTACTGGATAAACCTTTTTTTTTTTGTCTGGGAAGACAGTAGCAATTTAGCTAAAGCTAAAGCTGCTCCGTGTTGTTCAGTGGGAGAGTGGTGTAGAGAGAAAGCACACTTATTTGGTTTATCAAGACAGCTGCACTAAAGCCAAAACGTCACACATCATTGGGTACGTTTTTGATTCATCAAAGGCCTCAGAAATCAGTCTGCATCGCTACCAGCAGGAATACATAATCCCTAACCCTTGCAGGCTGCCAGAACAATGGAACTATGCCCAGTCTTTCTCTCCCCTGACACCTCAAGCCCCAATCTATAATATTCTCCTCAATATATAATAAATATGAAATTAGTTGTCAAAATCTCCCATTAAAAAAAAAAACACTTCTATCTTCAGTCATCAAAGAATGTGTGTTATTATGATCATAAGCACCGTAGCCTTAGAAAGGGAAACCTGTGTAGCCAGAGTCAAATCTATGCATGTTGAATGAGCAAAAAAATGTCATTATGGGTTCAGGTCTAAGTCTCCTGTGATAGTTACTATTGAATAGCTTAAACCACTGGAAAAAGTTATTCTATTTGGTACTGTATGTGCTCCACTTCCAATGGACTTCACCATAGGTTTACCCCCATTAGACTCTGTCTCAGAACCACGAGACATACAGTATCAATGCAGTCACCTCCTAATCAGGTTGTAGTGCAATGAATCTAGCACTCTTCAGTGAGAACAACAACACCTTCCAGTGTTGTTATCAACATGGCTAAAATGATTGCAACTCTTTCTCAGCCTGGGTCGACTCCTGCCTCATGTGTCTTGCTCTGTCGAGAGTAACTGGAACAACAGTGGCAATTTTGCCAATTCGACCCACTCCCTGGTAGCACACGAGCCCATCAAGGATACAGTAAGTGTCTGTCTCCCTTTTCCTTTTCTGGCCCAGTGGTCAAACGCCTCTCCCATCCTGTAGAGACATGATGATGACCACCAGCCTGTTTGTTTCTCAGGATCTCTGAGGCCTTCAGCGGTCGGAGAATCATGGCAGCAATGGGCACGTCTGGCTGGGCCTTTCTCGCTAAAGGCATTAGTGACAGCCTGTTTGCCCACTGCTGGCATCAGAGTAGTTGTGGCCCCACCTGCAACCCCAGCCCCATCCACATCATTTATACAGAATCAGCCCAGAGACTCTGTCTCTGTGACCCTTCTGCCTCTCTTTATTTCCAATTCAGGACATTTTTCAACTTGATATGAATTCCATGCTATTTATAACGACATCTGTATAATAGATATTGATGGAAATATACACACAATGTATATAATTCAGAATTATATACTGTGCAATAATCAAACTGATATGCAATTGAATGGATTGTGCTCCACTGTTATGCACTGCATAAAATGACAGCAAGAGCGGTGGGTTTGACAACAGTGAGATATGGTCAAATTTAACTTCAAACGAGAATGAATCTTCGTACATCGCTGTGCTCTCATCACGTCCACCCACTCTGTGTGGGAGAAATCCCGTCTATTCATTTGCCCACAGTGATTTCAACTTTCTCAAATAAGTGTGTCTACAACAATTATGGTATTGGAGCAGCTTTACCCCCCCCCCATCACTTCTCCATCTAATGCCATCCTTTCCTTAGGAGCCCTCCTGTCTTCACAACGGGACAGGGAAGTGGAGCATTACTGCAATGCCTCAATCCCTCTGTCTCACTGCGCACTCTCTCTCCGAGCACTTTTTCTGCACAGCCAAAATTCTGATCCCACCTCCCCTCCCCTCCCCTCCCCTCCCCTCAGCTAGAGCGGACACAGGGGAGAGGATACAGAGATAGAGACCAACGATGATAACAACTGACAATACACCCAATCTGCAACAGGCGACACAGGTTTTGTCTCCCTGCCATGGCAAAGCTGGCATTACTTGTTACTAAGAAATATTACTAATGCATGGAAATTAAGTAACATGAAAAATGTAATTGTGAAAACGCATTAAACATCATTCAAAATGGCAAATTATGCTGAAAGATGACGAGTGTGCAGATATGTAATAGGTTCTTATAAACTCTATTGGAACAGTATGTCTCTGTCTCACATTTTCTAATACTAGCTGATTAAGGGTCTTTGAAGCCTGCTAGCTGTTCATTCTGAGAAACTGAGGTGAACTAAGCTTCAGTGTAGCTGGTTTACATTAAATTTTGTGCAAAAAAGGAACTTTGGAAGATCAACTTGATTTGACTTGATTAAAACTGCTGAAGCCTAAGAACACTGAACATTGTTTTTAAATGACCTATACATTTGCCTCCCCCTTAGTCTTCGTTATATACTGTATCAGACGGAGGAGAGACGTGTCTGAAAATTCTTTATGTGTGTTTCAAAAGGCAACACTAAGTAAAACACCAGTTCCACTGCAGGAGCACTGCAGACAAATCAGCAGTGGCTTCTCCAAGAAGTAGAATGGTAATTTCAAGACAACCACTGCTACACAACACAAAAAGGTAATGGTTAAACGTTAGCAATTATTTTGTATAACAAAATACATGAGCATTGTTTCTCTACAAGGCTCTCTACCAAAATACCAAGCCGGAACCACACTTGACTATGTCAGCAAGGGACAGACATCAAAATAATTGAGAAATATGGCGATGTACACTACAAAGACATATCATATCATAATTATGAGAATAGTTCCATCTGATATCAAGTTATAGTGTAATAAGAGTAATGTGCTAATTTAATTCAATTCAATTTGAGTATCATTCTCCCATCACATCGCTACTCATATGAAATGTTACATAAATATCAACCAAATATTTTCCCTCTTTAGTCTTGAAGGGCTTCTATTAAGTTCGACAAGCCACCAGATGTCACTGTGCTTCCTGCGATTGAAGCCTCAAGCCTTCAATTTTTTTTTCGGCACAAACAAAAAGAAAGCCCCAAAAGTCCGTAAGGCTTCATGCGCCCATCACTACAGCAAAGCATAACCCTGTCTGTATTGCTTAAGGACATGGTATTGGTCTGAGAAGGTAAATTATTACATGAAAGCCTAACCAGCCTCATAAAATAATTGTCATAATTTGACCATGCCATGGTCTTGAGTCAGGGATTTAAGAAATGAAAGCAGAATTAAATCCAGCCTGCTGAGTATCTTATATTAACTGTCATAACACATTAACTCAGTAATTACTAACAGAGAGAGACACTGTATATCAGCATTTTTTCAAGCTCCCTCTCTAAACATGCAATTTACCACGTCTTATGTAGCAACTGATAAAACTAGTGTTTTGAAGAATTTGAATTTGTTTGACCAGTGGCCACATTATTTTACCATGCAGGTACACAAATGCAGGCATATAAACTAACTGGTCCCCATGGTAACTAGAGATGGACAGCCTTAGGCAAGATTGGAGGGATGTTATAGCAAATATAATAAATGCAGCACTTCTTTGCAAGTCTCTGTGCCAACTTGTTAACCAGGAAACCTTTGAAAAGCAAACAAGTATAAATTTGAGCTGCTGCTATGCAATGTGAGGGAACTCAAGCACTGGGTCATATTTGTTACAACAGTTGATTCAAGTTCTGTGCCCTCAGAAAGACATTCTTAAACTTCTGCTAAAAGGAAATCAACAAAAAGACCTCAGGTATGCTGTGTTTTCATTATTATTCAAACTAAGTGTCACAGACTGAACCCATATTAACTATGAACACGCTCTAGGGTATATTTAATGGAGTGTCACCTGCAAATTGTGGTCTTTCAATAGGATTCTATTCTTAAGGGTAAGAGAAATCAATGTAAAGCATGGTCTTTTTTGGTCTGGGTGAGAGAGAATGATCTATAGTGTCCATTTCTTTGGAGATTTAATCGTTTTCCCCTGTACACTGACAGTTTTATCACCCTTTATCAAGATCTGTCTGTCTGCTTTAAGAGGGAGTAAAGGAAAAGCTTAGGGCTCATTGCTGAAAGGAGGACCAATCAACCATGATAGCAAACTCACATGCATAAAATCTAATCAATTATCTTCTAGCACTCAAAAATGTTATTCGGAATGAATATCAAACCTCATCCATTTATGTTATGATGCCCTATCAATGCTCAAAAGCATCAACAACTTGTGTTTTTATAGCACTACCTCTCAAAAGCAACAGAAGCTGAAAATCTTTTTTGATCACCTTTAGGAATCAAACCAGAGAGAGCTAGGACAAGAGAGAGAGAGAGAGAGCAGGAGTGAGAAGAAGTGGGAGAAAGAGAGAGACAAGCTCAGCAGGCATGCTATTGGGTGTGCATTTTTACAAAACTGTCCCTGTGTGGGTGTAACTACATCTCCTAGAGATAGAGATAGCAAGACAAATGAGATTTCACTGGCTATAATCCATTATCTCCTGTTTTTGATATTGAATAATCAATTTAATAATCAAATTCAATCCCTTTCCCAGGCTAAGTCCCATGTAAGACTGAGAAAATACACGGAATTAGGGGTGCAACTAACAAGAATTTTTATTATTGATTAATCTGTCGATAATTTTCTGAATTAGTTGTTTGGTCTATAAAATGTCAAAGAATGGTAAAAAATGTTGATCACTGTTTCACAAAATAATCTACTCAGCAGCCAATAGACCCACACCCCAAAGTTTTATGTTCGAAATTTAAAGTACAAGTCCCTAGCATATAGAAACTGCCAGATGCTAACTTGTATATGTCGGGCAATTAATATAGTTAGCATTATTAGCATGAAATAGCATAATTGCCTATATGGACAATATTTTAGCAACTGCTTAGTCGAAATCCTAAGAGAGGGCTATTGAACATCTTGGCCAAGAGGTTGGCCAAAGCATGTCTGGTGCACCAAAGAGAGGTTTTATTAAATCTTCTGGATGTTCAGAGAACACAATGATACTAGTTGGCTAGGATGGTATGCGAAAGGATTCCACTGGGAGTAGTAGTAAAAGTGGAAATCCCGAGGACCACAGAATGTGGGCAGAGTAATCACTAGGCAAAATTAACAGGGACAAAACATTTCTACATGCACACACAAAAGACCTCAACTCTGGCGTAATAGAAATACAGGACTCCAGCGTAGGTGCTCCACCCCCAAGCAGGGGTGGAGTTGAGAACAGGGAGGAAGTGGAGAGAGGACGAATCAGCGCTGCAAGCAGAGTCTTGGATACACCACAGAGTCCTGGTTGGAGCAGTGACAAGGGAAAGAGCTGGTCTGGGAACCTCTCCAACTGCCCAGTACAAGGCCAAAGGTAAGGAGAGCCACAGGCTGGTCCAGGAGGAAGTAAGGACATCAGTGGACTAGAAAAGGTCCAGCAGAGCGGTCAGCATGAGGCAGCAGGGGGCTAAGACAAAGTAGGAGCAGACTGACGCGTCACATGGACTGATCTCTGGCAAGCTGTGCCTCAGCACATCAAGTTCTTGATTCATGCAGTGTACAATGTCTTGGCCAGCCCATCAAACCTCTTTCACAGGGGAAAAGCAGAATCCCCATATTGCTTGCAATGAGCAGGCAAAGGGACATTAGAGCACGTCCTCAGCTGCTGCCGAAAGACTCTTAGGCAGGACCAGTACACCTGGCGTCAAAACAAGGTTATGAAAGCCATTACAGAAACCATCAGCATGGGAATCAGCAACAGCAGACAAGCACGCCCCACCACCCAGACAAATAGTGTAAAGACTGGAGAGTCCATCAGGAATCCTGGCGATAGCACAGGACTGGAGCTTTCTGTGGACCTTGAGAAACAGTTTCAGCCACGACCACCTTGAGGTCGTCATCCTGGTCTCAGAGTCAACAAAGAGCATCGTTATCATAGAGCTGACTGTGTCGTAGACCGTCTGAAACAGGGCTGGAAGGCAAGGTGCATGCCCATGGGGGTTGGCTGCAGAGGTTTTGCAAGGCAGTCACTCTACAAAGCCTGTATAGAACACACAGTGGCAGTAGAGAAAGCCTTGAGATGTCTCGAGATTAGGAAAGGAGGTGCATGGGGAGGAGCAAATGCCACCTAGTTGTGGTCTGATCAACCATTGCTGGGTCGCCTGGGGGAGTGTGTCTGATGTTTAAAGACCCAAAACAGCCAGTGACCCCAGGTTACATCACGGATGATGTGTTCAGAAGCATGTATTTTATCAATCAAATTAGTGGAAGAGGGAAATGGCTGACAGGAAGCTGGCTCTATGTGGTGGTTGGGTATGGAGGCTACAGCCAGCCAGTCCATAGTTTCCTTTGTGCTGGAACCATCGGCCCAATAATGAAAGTTTGCTGCCACCTGGGCCTCTCATCTCCCGCCCGCGTCTTAATCCTTAACTGAGGCTGCACCCAGTGTATTGGTTGTTGTCCTTGTGCAATAGGCTCAATCTGTGGCCACTGAAGTAGTTGCATTCAGCCCCCGACAAGTTTGAGTCAGTAGAAGAAAGGCTTGGGCTGTTCCCACTTTGCAAATCGCATTGCATCTACAGGTGACGAGAGAAGCTTGGAACGGCGCTCCCGTCAACAGATGAAACAATAAGCTTCCCGAAATTAGTCAATCTGGCTAGTTGCCTAGTAATGCTCTGCCTGCCATTTTGTGGTCTGCAACATAGATCACTCTTGAATCGACAAAAAAATTATCAAAATTGGCCCACCCGGAGTTGAAATATGGCCACGTTCAGGTTAAATGGAAATTTAAATGGAATTTTTTTATTTTGAAAATGTCAGAAATGGATTCAGCACCCCCAAAACCACCCCAATATTGTCCAAATTGGCAAAGCGGCTCATGCTAATTATGCTAATTGCACTAATTGCCCAACGTATACAAGTTAGCATATGGCAGTTTCTATATATTGGGGATCCATACTTTACATTTTCAACATAAAACTTTGATGTACTCAACATTTACAGCTTCATGTTTCTGGCAAACCCAAGGTCAGGTCATTAAATGGCCTGTTTTGTCATCAACCCAAAGCTATTCAGTTTACTGCCATGAACCAGAAAATATTCACATTTGAAAAGCTGAAATCAGAAGAATTTCTTCTTAAAATTACTCAAATATAATGAATTAATCAATTATCAGAATAGTTGGCAATTAATCTAATAGTTGAAAATGAATTGATTAATCAACTATTTTTTTTGCATGTCTGCATCAAATAATAAAATATATCCTCTGAGTACAAGAAAAATTATATGGCCTTAAAAATATATGACAATTAATCATATTAAATTCAATCAAATCATGTAACTATAAAATGTCAAGCAGCAAAACATACAGACATTCACTAATTCAACTTACAGTTTTAGAGGCTGTAAATATATACTGGATGACCATTTCTCTCTTTGTGTTGAGGTCCTTGTCTCTCAAAGGAGTCTTTTTTTCCTCACTCAAGTTCATGTCCTCCTGAAAGAAAAAAAGAGATTGAGTTATTCATTTGTCATTGTGGCCAAAACAAGACAGTTTTAGTTAGCTACAAAAGATTGTGTTCTAAAATCTTCATTCACATCTTACCTCTTAGTCACTGTGGCTGCCTTTGCATCAGATGTAAGTTTCACATGTCAAGCTACTAATATTGTTCTTCTAAGAAAACTTTGATGATATTGTACAATGACAAAAATAACATACCATCATCTTTTCAAACAGAGCCAAGATCTCTTTTTCCGAGGTGATCTTTGATGAAAGCTCCTCAAACTGATGTGAGGTGGATGATGAAGAAATGGACCAATCATTAGTATTGTGTTTAGAATGTGATAAGGGTGGCCGCTCCTTTTTACTACCCGGAATCCGAATACTGGCGAATCTGTCCAGCTGTGCAGGCAACAGAGAAACCACAATTAAAATAGGTAAAAGTATAGAATTTTCAGTGCCAAGTTGAAATACATAAAAGATGTGTTAGATTCTAAACACATTCAAATGGTTAATACACAAAACAATAAGCCTATAAATGAGTTAGATGTTATTAAAATGTTATTAGTGTAAATAGTGTGAACAAAGCACACATTTGTTCTAAATATCAGTCATACTCAACAAAGACATTAGTTAGTGAGAAAAGCAGTGTGTGCCCTGTGATGAGAATGCGATGAAGACCAATTTCATTCCGACTCAAAACAAGCAGAGCAGATGACTTTTAGTAAAGAAAAGTTAGATGCTGCTGATATTAACAACTAAGAAAAGGGAAAGCACACCAACGTCTCAAGTCTTACCACATCATCTGTGATGTTTCTAAAGGGTAAGTGCTATAGGTGGGGAACAGAAAAAACAAATCAGGATACAAAAAGCAACTGCATCGAATATTATTAAAAAAGATCTGCCCTACAGCAACCTAAAGCAAATGATTGTGACACTATTCATGAACAGATATCTTTGATTGCTGAAAGGACAAGGGCAGTGAAATGTAGCTGTTGTTTTGTCTATTAAACACAACTTTAAATGTGTAAACCCAAGTGTCATGTTACTCGACATCAACACTAGTCATTTAAACAAAATGTGTTGCTTAAAAAGTGCTTCTCTAACAAGCCCTCTATGCAAATTATAAAGCATCCACTCGTGCAGTGGAAAAGGAGATCAGTATTGGCCTGTTGTTATCTGTGCTTAGCAGCTACCTCAGTGCCTGCCGAGCAAGTTTTGTCTGCCGCTTTTCCTGCTCGAGCACAGTTTTTGTTTATGTGTTTTTCTGAAGATTTCTTGGGAAGTTGCCATATGTACTTGTGTGACAGAGTCAAAAAAGCTCTAGGAATTATCATAATGAGGAATAAAATGTCAATACATGAACAGACTACCTGAAATTTCAAAAATAACATAATGCTTAATGAAAAACATAAGTTTCCCTCAAGCAACATAAAACCATACAGACCCTCAGAGAAATAAATCAATACCCACCAGTGTTTAATTAATATAAAATTGAATAAATATGTCAGTCTGTCAATGAGCATCCCTCTAATGAGTGTTCCAAGATTAACATCATACAGTTTTTGTTCAAAAAGTGCTAGAAAAAAACAGAGTTGACATGAAAGAATCATAATAAAATGAGCCGCCATATCCCTACTCAGCTTGACAATTGGTCAAACTAATTGGACACAGCTGTCCACCTTTTACCTCACATGCCCACATCTGAGGTGATATATTTGGAACAAAACTAAGATGAACCCCAACAACACCTTCAATTTTAAATCGTTTTATTGATTTAGATACATGTTTTTTTAAAGAGTAAACTTTCTGAACAGTATGAAAACAAAATTGCAGAGAGAAAAAAAGAACCTCTCAGAACAGTATGCCTCAACAATTTGACTCCTACTTATTATCCAGGTCCCTGCTATTCAGTCCTGCTAATGCAAAGTCTGGCGCAGGGACACCGTGAACAGTGTAATAAACTGCAACAGTGACTTAGTCATCCTGTTTAGGCCCTGCAGGATTAATGGTATGAAACACAAAATTGGCAATACATGAATAGACATTTAGCCAGCTCCTGTTCCTTTTCTTTTCTTCAATTTCATAATTTATTGAATATGAAAGTGCGCATTTTGCTGCTTGTGCCTAAGCAGCCATTTGTACCAGCTGTTGCAGTCTTTCTCTCAAGTCTCTGCAATTCTGTATGTCACTGCAGCTTGTTTGCAGACCCAGTATATGCCTTTTCAATACGTAGGACATATTATGTAAGCTAAATATATATATACACATATTGTTTGTAGATTCTTACTTTTTCTTTCT